CAGAATATTTAACGGATGAACCACGGCTACCACGTGTTCGTCGACCACCTGCTAGGTTTATTGCTGATACTACGTTGATACCATAAGTACCGCAAACTTGCGCCGAATTATACAGAAAACAGTACCAAAATGTGATTGATGAAGTACTCAACGCACTAAACAATCTGTTCAAGCAATCCATTTTCCCTTTCCTATGCCAAGTTCAAGACTTTTTAATCGCGGTCGCAAATGGCTCTTGTGCTAGTAATATTGATAAGTTTTGCGTCGAAATCCAAGCATTCACAATCGACGATATCGACTGCGATAGATTGAAACAATAATGTGTAATGGTTCCTGATTTTTTTTTTGCAGTCATTCAGGACAAAGAGATGAGAATAAAAAAAATAACGAAGATATCGACAATTATTGATGTACTGAATGTACAACCAATTGGAAAAACAATGTTTCATCAATTAAATCGTCTTCTCCGGCTTTATTTGACAGTACCAGTATCCATAGCGACTGCAGAAAGACCTTTCTCAGTGATGAATCGAATGAAGACATACCTGCGATCGACAATAACACAAACTCGTTTAAATAGTGTCTTTTTAACACATATATACAAAGAAAAGACAGATTCTATTGACTTGAAAAGTCTTTGTTCGACTTTTGCATCAAAGAACAATCAGAGAAAACTATTTTTTGGTAGTTTTTAATGACTTATATTTAATTGAGCAGTAGAATAATCTAACTGAGCCATAAAATGATTAAAATGAGCAATATTGAAATTGAGCAGTGAAGAATTCAAATGAGCAATAATATATTCAATCAGCAATAAAAATACTGAATGAGCAATAAAAATATTGAACGGGCAATAATAAATTCAAATGATACAAATCCGTCTACTTCAACATATGGTGCGTATGTTTGGCCAACAACGTTGGCGAATGGAAAAATGGTATTTGCACTTGCCCATCATTCCTGAAAGACTACATTTGTAAGCACGTCATTGGGATGTCTATAAGACTACAATATTGCAAAGCTCCACCAGAGGCAAAAAATGTAGCAATTGGTACAAAAAGAAAGAGGGGCAGACCATCTAAAGCCAAAAAAGCTTTGGTCACACAATAATTTTTTGTTATGAAAATATAAAGTTTTTCTTGCTCACATATGATTTTTTTCTTGCTCAAATATAAATTCATTACTGCAATTTAATGAAGTAATTATTATCCATTTCATAATATAAAATTGCTCAAAAAAATTTTTTTATTGCTCAACAAATTATTGCTAATTCGTATTTTAATTATTGCTCACTTTGATTTTTTAATTGCTCAAATAAATACTAGCC